CAGCTGAACCACAGCCCAATATTTCTTTAAAGTTGGTGCTAGAAAGTGTGGATAATCTATTGCAGTTTATCAGTAATTCTCCAAAAGAACTTCTTTTTGATCTGAAGACGTTATCAATTCTATGTATACTGAGGTCGAAGATTTCTCATTATGTCATTGATGACTTTACTACAGTCATACCTTGTACTTGAGGATATATCTGAGGTGGAATACAACTGAGGTATTCAATAGATAATATTGTGTTTAATTTTATTGGTTAATAAATTCCATTATAATTAGTGACGTCTAAGTGCTTAATTATATATACATTTATTCTAAGTAATGTATAGCATAATTTATATTATAATTTATTATATCGCCTAATTTTTATGGTCTACCAGGTAATTTTATTTATGACCTGATTTTATGACCTGATTTTATTTATCACTTAATTTTATGACCCGATTTTATTCGTGCCCGATTTTATGACCCGATTTTATTTATGGCCTGATTTTACGGCCTGATTTTCTTGCGTCTGCAAATGATCGACTTATCCCGCACAAATATATATAGAAATGGCATAATTTTTGTGTAATACGTGACGGGATATAAACGAGGTTAGATAACTATAAAATTGGGAAATTGGGGATTGTAAAATTTATATGGAATTGGAATAGGAGCTGGATATAACTGAGGTTGGGATATAACAGAAGGGGATATAACAGAGGTATGACTGTATTTCATTTGATGATTTAGAAAGACGTTCTTGAAATTTGAACAAATTCTTTATGTCTCTTTATATCATTGATGATTGTATTTGATGATTAGAAAAGACGTTCTTGTAATGTATAACAATTTTTCGTTGTTTATCTGTTTATTAGATTTATTTAATTGGTCCATCGATAACACGGATTCCTCAATAAGTCGGACGACCATGCCCACCACGTCGTGTCCGACTTATCGAGTTTCCCTATATACCAATAATTTTGATGCAGATTAGTCCACACACATTGACAAAAAGCGACTGCATTTACTATCTAACCGTAAACTACTAAAATTATTGTCGATATCCAATAATCGTATGTTAGATAACAAACAAAAAATCGAGTTCGATAATCATAGTCAATCTTCAAGCGACTCTTACAAGACATACTAATAAACTCGTTAGTAAGAACATGAGCACTTATTTGTTATAATAGTTGGTCCTTACCGTTTTTATAACAAAATTAGGATACATAATTAATCTACATATTATTCCAAACTGAATATAACAAAAATGACAAATCCGTTGATTATCTAATTCATAAACCATGCCATGTCATTTTCACTAACCCATATTAATATGCAAATATATGGTTCAAATCACATGCCACATATAATTGGCTAATCGCGCGACTATAAATTTATCTAGTAATTGATTGCAATTTCTTGCGTTTCCTCATCTTCTGTCCAAAATTGTCAAATCATGATCCAACAACTTGTCAAGTTTAGCATTTGATAGTTTGGAAAAATATACCGTATTCTACGAACGAATAGATTTTATCCAAGAATAAAATAGTGCTAGTAGTGATTAAAAGTGTTAATCGAATTCTTACGAAACATTGAACAATTTCCATCAAACAAGAAGACGTATAAATTGGGGAAATCAATAGCATTCTTGATGGCTACACGCAATAGTTGCTTAGCTTTAATGAGCTAAGAGTTGTGTTGATTCTCCGTTTGCGAAACAGACCCTCGTATTAGACTTTCTAAATTGCAAACCGTAACAATACACCAAAATTTGTAGAACAAACTTAACATGTTGCTAAAAAGATCGAGCAGTGACATATCAAAGATGCCGCAATCTCTGATTCTCTCACACAGTACGGTATTGCAGTAGAAAAAGGAAACATGGCTAACAATTATTATGTATGAAATTGACCTTTCCGGAACGCAAGGCTTTTGTCGTTGTCGCAATTTCATAGTCAGCTTGGTATAGTATTCAAGACTATTCTATACTAATACTAATGGAAATGTCAAGATCATTATGCGTATATTATGTTATCAACTGATCGGGCAATAGATAAAACTATGGCAATAGATAAAACTATGGGCAATAGGTGAAAATTAATTATTTGACTGCTTTGTAATACGGATGCCAATGATAGATAGAAAGCAAGAAGAATAACAACCTATGTAAATTTCTTTCCATTTACAAAGCGTGGAACAATAACAGCACTTCATATGAATAACATTATTTTCGTATCAATCTCTGACGCTATAAATAACTATACCGAATATGTCATTTGACGGTAAACATAGCGGGTGGCGCAATTTATTGATCTTGGTATCACAAATAGATGTCTATATAAATGTGGGGGGCCTCCTCACCCACCCCACCCCTCACTTTCATAAGATGTCTATGATTTCGTATTGTATAATACTACTTTTTATTGTAAATATTTTAAATTACGAACATTTTATTTTTGGTGGTGCATTGGCAGTAACAAATGTAATATACGTCGGTGATGGAGGCCCATCTTATAATCCTCCCTTAACGTTTGCTTTGCCTGGAAACATAGTAGAATGGAGATGGAGTAAATTTACATTGGGAACGTACGAAGTAGTTCAGACTACTGCACGGAACAGCTGCATCCCTCTTGGGGGAGGATGTAAGTGTGAGGGGGGATGATGAGAAGTAAAGGTGTAAATAGAACATGGAGTGTGGGTTGATCGGATGTACAACATGCTAGCTTGATTGAGTGGTTGAACTTATTGCATTATTATTATTGTAGTTAAATCTAGTTCATTGGCAGCAGGTGGACAGGCAGATAACCGATTCAACATAACAATCTCTCAGAAATCTGGAGAGGTGAGCGTCCTTTAGACGAAAACGTCCTTTGGTCTTGTGTCTATGTTCACTTTTCATCTGCTTTATTCTAGATATATTATGCATGTAATCTGAACAATCACTGCGCAAATAATAATATGCAAGGTGTAATAAGAATTCTTTCTTCTCCTAATGCCGCCTCGTCTACGTCAACCAACAGTTCATCTAGCGATTCATTTGGTAATGGGTTGGCATGGAGCAAACTGCGAACATTATTGTTAGTCTTAATCCCAGTGTATTTGCTTGTCGTTGCCTGTATTTCTCTTGCATGTTATAGACATCTGAAAAAGGATAATGGAACAAGAAATGTGAGTGCTGAGAGTCTAGCTGGCGAAGTAAGGGAACGTAATGCGAACGGACTTCGATTTTATGGAAGAGAAATAAGAACGTCGATGACATGATTTTCTTTGCTTAGAGGCAAATGGGTTGGTGAATGTTATGCATGTTCAATATTTTGCTAGAACAATCACTTTTTAATCATCGTAATAATACTTTCGTTGTAAAAATGCTAGTGTGATACAATACACCATTGTCATTTCATTTTTGAAAAATAGTGACACGTTGATGTAACCTTTAGACTTCATCATGGGGTACTCGGAGGTATCTCTTGGCGTAGAAAATAACCGCACATTGTTTGTATTAAAACTCAGTACCAATATCTCTGCCACTAAAGATGTGTGTAGGCGAGTTACTCTTTCAATGTATAAAGCGAAAGGAAAGTTATCTCATTTGTATATTAATATACACGGATTAAACAACGCTTTATGACTTTGTAACGCAGAACGATTCATGTTAGTCGAAAGTTAATCAAGTCATAAATGAGGACTTGCGTCATTTAACTCACCGTCTAATAATCAGATTCACAATTGTATGCGATTGACTACTCCACAGAGTGTTAATGTGGTAATTTAGAACAAAGCCGTTATTACATTCGACAGGTGTTTTGTCGTTCGCATTAATTGTACTGTGGAATTATTGTAATTTATATTTTCATTCCTCTTTTTACGGCTAAGTTTCACTAAACTTTAACGTTGTATACATGTCCAATTATTACGACTAGATATGTTAAGGGAATCTTGCTATTATTGTCACTCTGCATATGCTGAGATTCTTTATTTTATTGTTCAAACCTGGCGGAGAACTGTGGTACTGCCGTGCCGGGTTATGCGAACATCACAAGGATTTGAATAACAATAATAATAATAATAATAGATCAACAACTAAATTTAGCCGTAGATAAACGTTACTAAAAATAGATATCCAGTGTGTTACAAATTTTTTTGGACACCTATTTTTAAGTTCCTATTTTCAGCCATAGCATGCTGTAGCGGTTTGAACTGCCGCTGCCAAATTCCCGGGGGCCGCCTTCATGGAATTATTCCATTTACGAACTTGTTTACTTTCGTCCATTCGGGCATCGCGTTTGCTGCTCCGATTTCGATACATTTTTCTTGGAGCGCGTTATAATATTCATCAACTGATTCTGCATTATTAAATAAGCTTGTTGTGATGCTTGCGTTCGATTGGTGTCATTTGCGTATTTGGTTAGGAACATTTCCTTGTACCCTGACAAGTAGCGGGTTTGTTTAGTGCAGCATACCATTGTTCTTCTTCGTTCGTTTTGTTGAGCAGGTATGGTGCAGGTTTTATTACGGGGACCTTTCTCTTCTGCCTCCCTCCTGTTGAGGAAAATGGTTCTGGCTCTTTTGAAGATTTAACGCTTCGTCTGATCGTACTTTTCCAAGGACCAGTCTTATGCAAAGTTATTACAGACAGTGCCAATTGCTTTACCTATTAACCCACCCAAATACGACTACAAAATGAAGGCATGGAAATTGCAGAACTAGGTTACTGAGAGTTATCGTGTTAACTTTAACTAATAATGCAAAATTGCTAGCTTGCGTTATTGCATATGCTTCTGACGTTCGCTATTAAAGCAATCAGAACCGTTGCTCTCCCTATTTGGAATGGCGCGCACACTTACGTTTATAATAATATCGACGTAATTTCTTGTAATTATATTGTTATTTGTTCTGGTCATTAAAATCTGATATATTGGGGGGTTAGATATCGGTAGTGTTACAAACATAGGGGAAGCCTCATATGAAAATCCATAAACGAAGTTTT